ACAAATAATCTGAACTCTCACGTCGCTCTAGTATTTTGCCAGAAACAGAAAAAAGGTTCGATTATTTTCGATTTCGAATAATCGAAGGTTCGAATATTTTCGATTTCGAATAATCGAATTTCGATTAATCGAAATCGGTGCATGCCTAGTTCAGAAGCATCTGCATTCCAAAGAACGTGTCGTCCTACGTCGGTGATGCAAACATTGAACTATTTTCAGAATTTTGAGAAACATTGAACTAGTGTTCATAAAACAGAAGAGGAAACAATAATCGAGAGAATGTTAATGTGCATTCGAATACTGTCGTCGAAAGTGCACAAAATCTTATTCCGTTATTTCTTTTTTTATCATTCTAAAGTTTGACAGATGAAAGTTTCATATCATTCTAAAGTTTGACAGATGAAAGTTTCATATCATTTTAAAGTAAATAATAGAAAGTAGATAGGCCAATATATATACTTATTCACTTTACCTTGATGATGCAAGCACATCCAAATTATGGGGTGAAAGAAATTTACTCTTTAGCTCTTTCAGCTTTCTGACACGTTATTGTATTTCTTTCAGAACAGAAAAAGATAACAGTGATGTTGTATATAAAGGTGCGCTATGCTTTATGTTTCAGTATAATAAAAGTAGAATCCTATGTCGAAGCACACAGTCAATACAGACCAACAGCGACATATTCAGTATAACACAGATGTTCAACCAGAACAATGGCAATATTTTATCGGCGATGTATTTGACACAGGCGATTTGAAAAATGACAAATATCCGTTAGTCGACGATGAGCCCAAGTACGATCCTTCAATCCATCTGAATATTGTTGAACCAGAATTCGTAGTCTTGTTAAACAACAATTTTCAACGTGTCAAGCATGCTCCAGCAATTGATTTTGAGCAGGGAGTTTACAAGAGTCAAGTAGCATATACTGCACCGTTTCGTATTCTCAGTGACGAAGGCTATAAGGTGTTGAAATCGATAATCAAACGAGAATTCATCAACTGTGAAGGCGATCAAAGACAGCCGAATCGGATTCGTCACATTGGATATCGATCGAAATGGATAAGAGACTTCAATCGTTGTCCAATTGTCCTTGAGTTTCTGACAAAATTGTGCGGAAGCAATGAACCCCTGATGGCAACGACGTTGAAATCAAGTTATAGTCACACAAATATTGGTCTTGTTGATCCAACGAAAAACATTGATCAGTGGCATGTAGACAGTGTCCCGTATGTAATCATAATTCTCGCGTGCGATATGACAAATACGATTGGTGGCGAACTGCAGTTGATCGAACGAGAAAAGCAAGAGGCACTGAAACTGATCGCTGAATATAATGGCGAGATCCCTGATGAATACGTGCAAAATATTGATTTTGGTGGAGCCGGTTCGGTGATATTCATGCAAGGCTGTGAAATTGCTCATCGCGTAAAACCAGTTTTAGCCGGCACTGAACCTCGGCTTACCGTCGTTAATTCGTACATGTCACGAAACCCATTTGTCACGGAGAAAACTCGTTACAACACATTTGTGTACGAACCCACTTGTGATTACGAATTTACACTGCATAAAGCGTGGCGTGCACGAGAACAGTTGAAAGCATTGATGATGTACGATAAAGACTGGCCTTCGAAAGAGAACTTGATCAAGCGATTGAATCTGGTTATCAATGAGCTGGTAGACTGCCGAGATCTCCTGAATGGTACAGCAACAGATGCAATCGGCTTTTATGACGCAAAGAAAAAAGGAATGAGTGCGTACGATGATACCAATTTCAAAGTAGAAAAAAAGGTAGTAAATATACAAGAAACAGGCATGTAATCAAGAGGGTTAACCGTGTATGCGTTACTTAAGCGGACTTTTACATTAATGTGCTTATTGGATTATTATATGTTTCGATGTCTTGTAACTGATTTTTTTGAAATAAAGCTTATAAGAACTGATTCCAATCTGATTCAAAAGAATAAATCTGTGATGAGTAACATCGTAATGCCAATATATGACTCCAAAGGCAAATACGTTTGAATAGTGAACACACCAGTTGACATACTAAGCCCTGTTTCTCCTTCCATTCCAAATATGTTTGGTTCTTGATAGTCTACTCAGAATCCAAGTGTCAGAGAAACTATTATAGCCACCAAACTATGAGGCACATGATGTTTCTTGACTAAATCGAGAACGAAAAGCGGTCTTTTCATAAGCAGAAGCTATTGAAATTAAAAATTCAGTTTTCTAAAGGATCTTCAGGAAATCATTTGTTAATCCGACATTCAACATAGCAATATATTAGTTTTTCTTCACTCTAAAGTGTTTTCTTCAAAATAGAAACTAACCGACCTCTTAGTTTGTCGCGCTTTGGGAGTGGCATTGGTTTTCCTTCTGTCGAAGAACGATATTTCCGCACGTGTGGAAATTCTGAAAATCAATGGAAACATAGGTTATTGGTCACGCGAAGTCTGTGGTAAAATTTGATTTTCGAATAAACTTCAAAAAGCTTGTAAAAACCTATATTAGGTGAAATAACCAGCTTGCCTATTTTCGTTTAAGTGGGAAAGGTTTTTTTTTAAATTTTCTTTTTGTGAGTTTTATATAAAAAGAACACGGATGGTTTATCCAAGAAACTGGCTCCGTATATTTTTGAGAAGATAGCGGCTGAAACTGATCAGAAAGCGCTCGTTATTTAGTTTTGAAGGACGGGGACTTATAAAAATCAAAATTTTTCCCTGATATTTCTGAACAAGAGTTACGTGTTCAGAATCAGCGTGAAATTCTGCGTCGAATGAGATGTATGGCACCTTGAGAAAACCATTTTCAATTTTTCGGAAACTTTTAAGCCTCTATCCCACCTTTGGAACATCGAAAAACGTCGTTTAGTTCAAGATGAATTGAAAAGAGCAGCTATGGATCGTTGTTTATGTATTATTCCTGATATGTAGACCGACAATCACAAACGTATTTCATATTTAGGAGCTACAGCTCAGTGGATAGATGATCACTTTTATTTGAGAAGTTTGGAACTATTTGACCAGAAATACGACCAGTCAAATAAAAAAGCTGCGAACATAATCAAAGTACGTTAATATTTTTTAATTAATTATTACTTTCTTATTTAATTTTACAAAGAGATGTGTGCTGTATTTTTTAGGCTTTGTTAACTGGGTTATCTAAATATGGTCTGGATGATTATTTAAGTGGAATTACATTTGTGAGTGATCGTGGATCTAACTTTAAATGTGCATTAGAATTATTAGCAAGAAAATAT